TGAGCGGCCTTATCTCTTAAAGCGATCTCTTCCAGGCAACCTTTGGATGGAGAGGATTAGAAGGAAGTGGGAGAGACGGCGGCGGCGGTGCCAATCGCTAGTAAAATATATAATATATTAGTAAATACATAAATACACCATACACATGTACATTTAAGATATATATACATAAATACAAATACATAGATACATATGTTTGTATCTACATTGATCCAATCCAGTTAGTAGTTAGTTGAAAGCACATAAGATATTAAAAAAACAAAAGTGTTACAATGTCAGATAGTGGCAATTCACAAGGTTTTTAAATGCATAAATAGTTTCCGCGCGTCTTATCAAAACCGGAAGAGAATTCCATAGATGTGCAACTTGCACTGCAAACGAACGGTGGAAAAAAGTTGTGCCGTATACGGGAGTCATAAGAGCAAGATTTTCTGAAGACCTTAAAGATAACGTGTTAGAATTATGAAGGAAATTAAAACTTTCCTAAAGATAGCGAAGGAACTTGGGATTGAACAATATGTTGTAAAGAAGAGATAGGATATACATACTTCTAACGACAAAATTATTACCTGCTCTGTTGGGGCCTGTGCATGTGACTAAAAGCCACCCGCACATTGCACGGTATCACCTGTTTTGGGAGAGGCTACACGCGCCTGAGCTTCTCCCGCCCACGAGGGAGGACCAGGGAGGAGTCCCACATACCTCTTCCTCACTCCCAGGAAGGTCCTTTCAACAGGAAGCGGGTGGCCCGGTGACTCGGAAATGGTTTCTTGAGTACTCCCAACCAAGGGTCCACTGTTGGGTTTTTGGTTTTTCGGTGGGTAGGCCACCCAGGACTTATCGAATGAATTTCCATTGGATGAGACCCCATACATTTTCCCCACAGCCAAATAAAGATGTGATTGATAAATCAACAGTACCAATCATCCGAATTGTCAGTCATACATATTTGTTTTATATAAAAACAATAATATAAATTCTAAATGCTAATAAAAGGTAAGCCGTCGCTCCAGTGCTTGTTTGTTCTATCGACCAAATTGTCGAAAACACTTTTATTATGATTTAAATTTCAAACCTGCTGGTCAAAGAATATTTACATATATTTATTTTAAAATAATAAAAAAGTAATTTGAATTTTATTAGTGATACAACATCGTAGTTAAAAGTTTGTGCTTGTATGTTATTTTTCCACCCTATATACCAATCACAACCCGTGACGTCATGAACGCCAGTTTGTTTACTGTGTCACTGTGACTGGAAATATCATGAGAATCCGAGTGACTTAGAAAAAAGCATTGAAAATTTCTGTAAATTAATGTGTTTTTGTGCTTATATTGTCTTAGCAAATGCCAAATTGTGTCTGTAGCGTATTGTAAAACTGAATATGCCATTTGTCTCTAAAACTTGTTCAAGTTGATTGGTAGAGAATGCCTACGGCATTAAGTCCGCCGTTTGCATATGTATATGTATGTATGGCAATAAAGTTTAAATAAATAAATAAATATGATCAGACGTAAAAAATAATGCAGTAAACGTACATATTAATTGATTCTCGTTTTTTTTGAATGTGTATGCTGTTGGATCATTTGACTGATGATTTGTTTGGTTTGATGTAAAGGCAAAGGAGTTGGGCGGGTAAGATTTTAAGGACCTTATTAGAAATTCCGCCTGACCCGAGGACGCTACGCGGGCGCAGTTTACGGATTAACGAGTGCACCTCATCTACAGTAACCGGTTCAAGAGTTGCGGACTTTTCTACTTCCGAGTCGACTAACAGAATCACATTCAGAGTTTCAGTCTTCAATGATCATTATGTATTTAAGGCCGAAACAGACTTTTGACCGCGACGCCATGCGACGTGTATTTTTTATGATCACTGTGTGCGCATCGCGTCGCGTCGGATGTTCTTTATGTGATGCAGATCATAGAAAATTGTACATTTGATTTGACGTCGCATTTCAAAACGCTTTTCAGCCATTCTAGTGGCCAATCACCATCCCGCTGCTTGATCAAGTAAATCCTTCCATCAAGTGGGATGCCCTTCCAATATGTCTGCCCACACACGGTCAGTTTGGCTTTGATCAATCGGCAGGATGGTGAGTGGCCACCTTTAGATTCTTATACTTTACAGTATTTAAGCATTCAGATACAAGTTCGAACTGAACCGCAGACCACAGGCCGCAGCTGCAGACTGCAGGCGACACTACTAGTTTCTATGAATCTCTATGAAATAGGGTATTTGACAGTGTTAAAAATAAAGTGCCAATTGTTGGTATTTGTGTTTAGAATGAATATTGGCAGGGGTTTTTACTATTTATACAAAAAAAATACACCATTTTACTAAAAACTAACGAAAAAGATAATAGTTTTCTTATCTATTGTCACGTCACTCAAAACACTTGGGATTGGCGGAGCCTAAAATGACGTCACACGCAAGTAAACTTCCGGTTACAGTGACATTATATTGTATCGTTTGACGTTTTAATAACAGTCGTGTGATGTCACACACTAGTAAGACGCCATATTGCCCAGAGAAACGTTTTCGCGGCAACTTGAAAATGGAGTTTTTGATTTCGTTATTTTTACTGAAATACACAACAAAATGATGAATATCCACTTTTTACGGACACCATAAACATTAGTCAATAACGTGAGATCGTTTTCTAAAACTTGTCAAATACCCTCTATTGATTCCGAGCGCGGCGTCATGCCGCAGCTGCACAATGCATATAATACACAGTCAGCCGCAGGCGCTAGCCGCGGTTGTCGCCTGCTGCCTATTGCGGAATTGTACCTTTCTACTGCTGAAGTGTTAAATCTAAAGTAATTTTATCCTGGCTGGATTTCTTATAGCACTTTTCGCTAGCTGAAACAACACACTACTTATTTATTTTAATCACCTAAATGACCAGTCAAGCGCAAGATGGTGTTTATAAACTAAACCTTTTGGAAGTGAAACTTCTTTTGGCACACTTGACTCGGGGGGTAAACTGGCGAACGTGTTACGATTTCGCGTTACGATTAGTGTCATCGGTGACTCATCGATAAACAATGAACAATACCCGTCACAAAATACATGAGTCTAGAGCTTGGTGGGGATAACGGACCCAGCGCGGATTGGTGGGTGATAATGGACCCAGTGCGGATTGGTGGGTGACAATGGGTCTAGTGCGGATTGGTGGGTGATAACGGGCTCAACGCGGATTAGTGGGTGGTAATGGACCCAGTGCGGATTGGTGGGTGATAATGGACCCAGTACGGATTGAAGGGTGATAACTGACCCAGTGCGGATTAGTGGATGATAACGGACCCACCGCGAATTGGTGGGTGATAACTGACCCAGTGCGGATTGATGGATGATAACGGACCCAGCGCGGATTGGTGGTTGATAATGGACCCAGTGCGGATTGGTAGGTGATAACGGACCTAGCGCAGATTGATGGGTAATAATGGAGCCAGTGCGGATTGGAGGGTGATAACGGACCCAGCGCGGATTGGTGATCTTTTTTCTATCAACAAATCTTCAGATTAAGTTTATGATTTTCAGATCATTGCAGCTAATGGAGTTTCACTTTAGTTGTGTGGTCATATGCACAGCTTTTTATATTTTACTGAATCTTAATTCTTCTTTTTGGTGCCTAGTAAGAGACATAATTTTATTAGCAGTTTCTATAAAAGTAACTATTTATAAATATTCATGATTAACTTAAAAAGCAAATCGCTTCGCGCTTAGTTGGTTAATTTTCACAAAAAATACGACAAACCAGGTCAAGAGTGCAACATTCTAGATAGTGTCCTGAAAATAACTTAGAACTAACGTTAACATTACAATTTATCAAAAAGTATGTAATTAAGTTATAAACAACTTTACAATGACAATTAGCCTAGCTCCAAATAAGCACTCTAGGCTTGTGTTATGGGATACTAGGGTAACGGATAGAATACATATACTGATACATATTATTATAAGTATACTAGCAAACCAGTGAACCAAATGTTCACCAATTAAAAAGAAAAAGGATTTAATTAATTGAGAACTTCGGAGATTTTGTGTGGTTTCGTTTGAAATTCGTGATTTCTCGAAAACCGGAAGTGCTACGTTACTCAAATCCGGTTTGTAGTCTTATCAGACTATTCTTAACTTATATCTTAAACATTCTCTTTATCTATCTCTTACGGTTTGGCCGCTGAAACAGCACCACAGACGGACGGACGGACGGACTTGTCTAATAGATAAGAGATTTATATAGAAATACATATTAGTAACTCCTCCTGATTCGAAAAGTACGTTAAGCCGTCGCTCCCGTTTGCATCTACAGTCGTTGGCAATCAGCAATCCACTTTAGGAATGTCGTTATTTAAGACTTAGTTTTACTTTTGTTAAAACTAGTTTTTGGCTTAGAAAAGAACGTAGGAGGCACATATATTATTTATTTATAACACGCTGTTATTAGTTTCATGTTTGTTTGTATGTATGTAACTGACTCGTTTGGACTCGATTTTGCCCAAGTTTAAGCGATCAGATTTACTTTAAACTTGGCTTATATATAAATAAATATTTCCAACACACACACCAACAAGCCTAGCCCCAAAGTAAGCACTGTTAGGCTTCTTATATGGGATAATAGGGTAACGGATAGAATACACATACAGTACATAATTATATAAGTATCTTTATATAGAAATACGTATTGAACATACATGGCTGGAGTACAAATGCTCATATTCATCACACAAACATCTGCCCCCACCTGGATTCGAAGCCGGGACCCTTCGAGTAGGCGACACCTTGAAACCCCGTGTACAAATCACTCGGCCACGAAGGTCGTTAAATAACAATAATTAACAATACCTACCTTCATTATGTAAGTTTATCAAAAATTACCATTCTTTTACTGGATTGATATTTACATCATCAAAACAAAATCTTGGCGTGAGATAAGTCTCGCGTTTCTCGTCATAAGATAAATAAATTAAACATCTTATAAATTATTACTCACGTTTGGTTTCACCAACATTTCTTGCACTAGCACAAAACAATAACACATTCACGTAAAAAGTCGTCCTGCTTAGATTAAAATTAGATTTCATATTGCCGCCAATTTTGCACCAACTTTTAAAATTCGAATATCGAAATAATTTTCTTTATTTTTTTTATTTCTTTTAACTTTTTGATTCCCTCGTCACAGTCATGTAGGTTGTTCGAAAAAGGTTTTATTACTATATTAATTAATAAATAAAGTGTTATCAACGCGGCGGTTTATGTTACACTACCAGCAATGCTCTTTCGGTGTCACTTTAAAGAGTGAATTGAACATAACAGCGAGTGTAATGGAGTCGATTTTATTTAATACAGTTTTAATAATGCTTTTTGATATTGCCCTTGAACTGAACCTCGTTTTGAATTGGATGCGAGAAAGTTACGCCATGCCCATTTGGTACGTATGAAATAGTTATTTACCTCAGTTAGGTACTAATGACAATAGATGGAGGTGTGATAATGTAGTGCAAAATTCATTATTACGAATAGGATGGGAATAAAGAGAATAAATTTGTTGCTTCGTTTTTTATTCAAATGAGTGTGAGTAAAGTTGTTATAAATAAAGAGGAGCTCGATGACGCAAGTAGTTAGCGCGTTCGACTGCGATCGTTGAACTTTAGCAAGTTTCGCAGTGGTCGGTCATTGGATGGGTGACCAAAAATTACTATCTCGAGCTCCTCCGTGCTTTGGAAGGCAAGTTAAGCTGTTGGTCCCGGCTGCATCTGCAGTCGTTAGCACCCACCAAAACGCACTGGGCCCGCTTGGTGGGTCATGGCCCAATCTCTCTATTCCATCCATAGAGAAGGCCTGTGCCCCAGCAGTGGGGACCTTAATAGCCTGATGATGATGATGATGATGATAGTTGTTATCTTAGTTCCTATTGGTTGTTCATTATGTTTAGCTATACATTGCACATGTTTGTTGGTGCGTAGGTGAAAGGCTGTTATTGTTGTGCTGGAAGATACAGGCAGCTGTGACACAGTTTATACTAAAACAGATGCCAACGTTAACCATATTATTAGAACTATATACATTCTACGAGCAAAGTTAAGTGAAACTGTAAATGGAGTGGACAAATAAACTTTAAATTTCATAAATTCATTTTTTTTTATCGGTTTATGTTTTTACAAGTACCTACATGTGAAAGTCAAAAACTACGCCATCGGTTCGCTTAACTACGGCGGGATACCTTGTACTGAGAAGAACTACCGTGAAAATCAGCAAGGGCTGCTTTTTTCTCCATTTTTTATTTCATACAGTGTCGTCAAATTTAAAGCTGACATCAAACTTGCAAACATGTATTGAGGTCAACATCCATCACATAATGTCAAATAGGTAACAATAAACAATCAAAAATTTTTCTAACAATAAGTGTAAAGAATAGTCCCAAAATAGCAAGAAATAATTACAAAAACAAATTGAGCAAGTATATAAACGGGAGTAAGTGCAAGGTTCTCTTATCTTATCTACTGATAAAATTACAATAAAATTGTTAAATAATATCCTTTCTAAGAAAGTAACAGTTCTTAATGTGTATTTTAAATTTATGAAAAGGCAAATCAAGAATCTCATTAGAATCTTATGAAGAAATGTACATTTTTACCCATAAATTATCCATGAACCCTCTGTAACCTGTAAGTTGGTATTTTGAGTTATTTTTTTATTGCCTGTAAGATTATATGTCACTGTGTTTGAGATAAATAGTTAATTTAGCTTCGAACAAAAAGTATACAATTACCGCTATCCGGGTGACTATCGAAAATTTCTTTAGTTTAAAATAAATAACAAGTATATAGAAGAGTAATGTATCCATACCACGTGGAACGCGGAAATATCCTGCCCACATTGGATTTGCCTCAACGGCCTTACAAAGTAAACTTCTACAACCTATTAAAAATTTACTTATTACATCCGCTTCACTCTTTTAAAACCTTCCGGGATAAAGCTGCTATGCAGGCTGCATTATTGCTTTTTTTTCATTAAATAAATCATTCTATACATTGAATAAATATTATAATGAAGCTTTAAATTTAATATGTAAACCTGTTGCTTATCATTGGGTTATTATTTTTTTATTTATATAATGTTAAAATTATTGTTATTTTAAGAAATTTTATATTATGGTTGCAATTTGTATATTGTAATATAATTATTGCAACACCTTAACCGGGTTCTTGATTGGAATTATATTTTTCCGATTAAACAATATAATAAATAACACTAATTACTACGAGAATTAATAAATGAATATGTGTAAATAATGTTGACAGTTCATATTAGTTGTCAAAATGTAATGACCAAGGCCAATAAGTTTGTTAACTTTGGGCCTATATCATATTCGGAATAAAGTTATCAGGTATTGTGAGTTGTACACAGTTAATAATTTATGTATAAAGCTTTTATAAACCGTTCAAAAGATTCCGTCAAATACTAGTGTACGCGAAATCATACGAAAACATTTCATAACTAGAAATTTATTGATTAATTAACGCTATTAAATTTTTCATTTTTATTAAATTAATAAAAAAATACTATGGTATTAAAAGATTTTTAGATTACCTATATTTTTTGCGAGATAAAAATTCATCTTTTTCAATCAGTTTTAAAAAAAAACATAACACTCCTTAATGGGAGTCAGGTAATTTATAAAACTACTCCATGACACTTGTGGCCAAAGATTTGCATTTTATCAATAAATACCCACTTATTGTCAATGATGTTCCCAAGCTTATATTGATAGAAGGCACAATGTAAATACTTGGACTCTCAGATAAATTTATAGTGAACAAATTAACTGTCGTACCGGCAATTGGGCCAATATTAACATAATTATTATTTGCGTCTTTGTTTGTCAGTAGGTACATCAATAATATGTACAAGTTACTTATACAGCTCATTACTGGCTCGTTTGAGACACGTAACTACGTTTCTGTGCTTATCTTTCTTTATAAAGACAATGAACTGAGTTATGACAAATTACCTAGATTAAATTTTCTTATTAACGAATGTTTTGCAGCAGATAATTAATTTTAGATAATCATTAGGCATAGCGTTTAGCATTTAAAAGTTATATTTGACTACATTTTGTGTACATTTAAATGTTACTGTTATTTGACTTATATGATCCTTATTGTGCTTCACAAACGTTTGCCAAATATTGTCACTTTATGTTACCACTGGGAGAGAGCTCGGCACTGTACTACGTGATGACCGAAAGAAAACTAAGAGAGTGAGTTGACCTTAACAGCGTCACCAGGTTTGGGGACGGCGAGACCCTAAGGGGACTTCAAGTCGAGAATTGACCTCTAGAGGTATTCCAGGCGGATGGCATCTCCCCACGGGGGGAGTCTTCTCTCCGTCTATAGGCTCTAGACCACTCGAACCTGAGGGGTCGGCTCAACTAGAGGGCGTCTCTGCGACTCGGACCTCGGCTCTAGTTAGCCGTTGTAGTGGAAGGCGTTTAGAATCAATTTGCCAAAGTGTGCACTAAGAATATTTTTTAATGGAAATTGAAGATAAAATCCATACATATGACTTACGAGTATTATACTTCGGAATTATTCCCCGACGAAAGTGTAAATAATACTAACATCTTTGGACTAATACCTCTTCACATACAGGTGAGTTCGTTTAATAATTAATTATAAGAGAGTGTCTGTTTGTTGAACTTTAAACTTTTGAATGAATATAATTCGTTGGATAATAATATTTCATAAAAATCATAGAAATATAGTCTACAGCTACAACGAAGCGAAGTGAGGGCGGTAAGTAGCTAGTGAGCAAATATGAAATGATTTTTAATAACTTGCCAGTAAGAGTTAAATCTTTGAATGAAACTTCACTATAACTCTGAAGATGTTTTTTGCGACTGGCTGTGTTGAGTAGAACTGAGAAATATTTAAATGTCCCTCAAAAAATAATAAAATGATCACCTTAAATACAATTGTTAACCTAAAGGTTAGGTAAGGTTACCAATTGTATATTATTTTGAAGACCAATAACCATTTTTTTTTATGATCTTTTCAATATATTATGCCAGTGGAAAATACCCAGAACCCAAACCTGTGAAGCAACTTTTGGGGTTTTGGTTAAAAAATGGGTTAACTTTATTTGATGGTTAGGAACCTTTCATGTGTGAGACTGACACTCGTTCTGCTGTTCTTTTTTTAACGCAAAGATTAAAAACTGCCATCTAACAGAAACGAAAACCTTGATACCCCGAAAAAGATAGTATACTTTTTAACGATATTTCCTTGTAAATTTTTAGCGACAATTTTTTGGGAAATATTTAAAGGATCCTCAAATAAAAATATTACCTAAAATGCAATTGTTAACATTTAGTTTAAGTAAGGTTAGCGATTGTATTTAAAAAATATATATTACTGTTTATTTCATGATCACTTAATTTTTTTATGCCTCAAAAGGACTCTAAAGATTTTCCTGTGCACCGGTACATTCCCTTTTTGAGCAGTTGTGTCCGACTACGTGCAATACCTCAGATAGCCAGCTACTAAACTAATCAGCTTTATGATTCAATTCAATACTTATTCATGAAAAAGCACGCGACGGAGGATGAAAACTAAAAGTGTACGACCTGAGCTGAGATATTCGTGAGAATCAAAAATTTTGAAAAATTCATGGTATTGGTGGCTGGCTAATGACGAACACTGGGGTTCCCGGGTCGAACCCCGACAAGGTAAATTTTACTAAGCTCTCGTTGACATGCTCAAAGTATGCTTTGACAAAGTAGCTTTGTTTAATAACTAATTTGAGGCTACTTTAATCGCGTGAAACAGTTACCACAGCGCACTTTGATTTTGGCGTCCAATCAAAGTCGAAGTTGGTACGTACAACTTTTGTCTAAACCCACTTTGTCAAAGTAGACTTTGAGCATGTCATCTCGGCTTTAAGTCCGAATCCGATATGCGCTGCTTAGTTTTCATCATGGACCAATAATATATTAGCTACTTTGCCAAAGTGTGCTACTTTGAGCATGTCAACGCTGTTTAAGACATGTTTGTTAAACGTCAAAGTAGTTGGTGCCACGGTGCAACCAGCCTGGACAATCACAAATTTTCGTTACCAGAAATTATGTATGGAGTAAACAACACAAACATATATGGTATAATTTATCATCATCAGCCCATTAGTGTCCCTAATAGGTACTGTAAGGTTTCCAGAAGGGAAAGCTGGGGTGCGTAGCTTAAAGAAAAGTTATGATGACGTTTTATAAGTATTTCTTAAGAAATTATCACAATAGTATTAGGGTGATATAGAATTTCTAGCCCTACGCCCGTTTTCCATCT